TCCATTTAGTCAACGTCCATCAACAATTTGCAGAATTCGACTGCGTTCAATTTGATATTTTTTGGTAATTCTCGCATTGAATTTCAGTAGTCTTTTTGCATCGCACTGCATTCGATACCTTTGTGACTGGTGTCAATTTTTATTGTGCAGGTACAAAAAATAATAATAAAATAAAGTAACGTAAATTCGTTTGAAAGCCGATATCGAATTGTAAAATGTAAAATATACATCATTGACACTTTTCTATTTATTTTATTTATTTATTTTTTTCGTTCGTCCGTTTCAATAAATTCATTTGACACGCCGCGTTTCGTTAGTGCTTGCATATTTCCATTTTTACCCCTGAAAAAAATTGCAAAAAAAAAACAACTGTAAATTTGAATGTTCAAATATTTTATAAATGTGTGCGTACATTTCTCGCACAGTGCGGGATTTCGACGAAACTAATCCAACATCAAACAGAGTCTACACAGGGCTTTTAGTTACAGACATATTAATTAATAATACGCAATTTTAATGGATGAACGTGTTCGTGTGTGCTGTATTCTTTCGTTTTTTTTTCTGCTGCTGCTTTTTGTTCATTAAATATTTTAATTAAAAGTTTAGTTTGATGATTTCAATGTTAATTAGGGTCGATATTTTATGGAAAAAAAAATAATAGTTCAAATGGTGAATTTAGAAGAAATTGAAATCTAATTTAATTGAACTACTCTTCAAATCTATTGTTTGAAACAAATGTTGCCAATCTAATTTATTTGAACTCTTTCATTTTTTTTACTAGTAATTATTAGATATGTTATGAAATTAGTTCATATTATTTTATAGTATTGTAGTTCAAATGTATTATTTCTAAATGCTATACGTAATTACACGGTGATTGAAGACACGGTTACAGGGTGAAAATCGGTTTGCATAAGAATGCAATCAAAATGTTATATGCAAATTGCGACATTACGAATTAGTAGGGTTGGCGTTGATGTAAAACCGCGGTTGACGATGATATTATATGATTATAAATTATTTGGATAAAACAAATATAAAACAACTTGAGAAACTGTCAAACTCTTGTCAACACTACAGGAGAAACAAAAATATTTGTAATTTCAAACTGTCAAACTCTTGTCAACACTTCTATCAAACTTTTGACACAAGAGGAGAAACAAACATTAATGTATCAACTTAAGAAAATTTAAACTCTTTATTAAGATTATAAATTATTTGAATACAACAAATATGAAATAACTTGAGAAACTGTCAAACTCTTGTCAACACTTCTATCAAACTTTTGACACAAGAGGAGAAACAAACATTAATGTATCAACTTAAGAAATTTTATACTTTTCATTAAAATTATAAATTATTTGGATAAAACAAATATGAAACAACTAGAGAAACTGTCAAAATTTTATCAACACCTCTTTTGACGCAGAATCATTAAGAAAATTTAAACTATTAATATAAAGCATTTTAATGACAATATTTGAATTCTTTCGTTTTTTTTTTCTGCTGCTGCTTTTTGTTCATTAAATATTTTAATTAAAAGTTTAGTTTGATGATTTCAATGTTAATTAGGTTGATATTTTATGGAAAAAAAAAATAATAGTTCAAATGGTAAATTTAGAAGAAATTGAAATCTAATTTATTTGAACTACTCTTCAAATCTATTGTTTGAAACAAATGTTGCCAATCTAATTTATTTGAACTCTTTCATTTTTTTTACTAGTATTATTAGATATGTTATGAAATTAGTTCATATTATTTTATAGTATTGTAGTTCAAATGTATTATTTCTAAATGTACGTAATTACACGGTGATTAGAAGACACGGTTACAGGGTGAAAATCGGTTTGCATAAGAATGCAATCAAAATGTTATATGCAAATTGCGACATTACGAATTAGTAGGGTTGGCGTTGATGTAAAACCGCGGTTGACGATGATTATTATATGATTATAAATTATTTGGATAAAACAAATATAAAACAACTTGAGAAACTGTCAAACTCTTGTCAACACTACAGGAGAAACAAAAATATTTGTAATTTCTAACTGTCAAACTCTTGTCAACACTTCTATCAAACTTTTGACACAAGAGGAGAAACAAACATTAATGTATTTTTTATACTTTTATACTTTTCATTAAAATTATAAATTATTTGGATAAAACAAATATGAAACAACTAGAGAAACTGTCAAAATTTTATCAACACCTCTTTTGACGCAAGAATCATTAAGAAAATTCAAACTATTAATTAAGATTATAATACAATATTTGAATACTCTTTCGTTTTTTTTTTCTGCTGCTGCTGCTTTTTGTTCATTAAATATTTTAATTAAAAGTTTAGTTTGATGATTTCAATGTTAATTACGGTTGATATTTTATGGAAAAAAAAAATAATAGTTCGAATGGTAAATTTAGAAGAAATTGAAATCTAATTTATTTGAACAATCTCTTTCATTTTTTTTACTAGTAATTATTAGATATGTTATGAAATTAGTTCATATTATTTTATAGTATTGTAGTTCAAATGTATTATTTTAAACGGTGATTAAAGACACGGTTACAGGGTGAAAATCGGTTTGCATAAGAATGCAATCAAAATGTTATATGCAAATTGCGACATTACGAATTAGTAGGGTTGGCGTTGATGTAAAACCGCGGTTGACGATGATGATGATGATGACGTCCAGTACAGCCAACTGTTAAATTCGAACTGGAGGGTGAGAGCGGGAGCGTTGCGTCATTTGCATACATCGGCGCATATAGTAATTGCAATTTGGCGGCTGCTGAATATACAAATCGCGAATAATAACAAAATTTTCATTAACGATTATAATTTCGGTTTTGGCCATTAGCGTTTCGCGCACGGCGACGTTCAATGCTGCCTGCCTATAACTTATATTGCATATACATAACACATATAACACACATAACCGCGCTCTACAACCACCCCCGCCCCCTCTCACCCCGCGAAGCATTTGCAATGCAAATCCTTACACATGCACTCAAACCCAGTATGTTCGTGTACATGCATGCACGTATACATATTCGGTTGCATTTGTGTGTATCTGCATTTCCTGACGCTCGAATATTTCCTGTCTGCAATGTTATTAAGGCGAGCACGGGAATTGGTGTAATTAATTCCCGAAATAATTCGCCCACTCCGATATGAGGAACTACAACCATTTCAACACATTCCAAATACTGTATAACTCCTACCAGAGACGACGCTGCTGGATGTGTTATGTACATGTATATATTTTCGACGTTTCAATTCGGGCGTCGCGACGCCTGAACGACGCTAATACCTAATATCGCGTTTCATTTTCATTTATGAACCAAGTGCTCACTTTTCACTCGTTCCACTTGCCACCGGATCACGTAATTACTTTCGCGCGTTCCCATGGTGACAACCTAATTTCTGAAAGCTATGAGCTTCTGAATTATTCACACATTAACAACAACAAATTCACATCGAAATGTATATAAATCAAGCATAAACTAATTGAAACTATTAATTGAGATTGGAAATTATTAAATTATTTAAATAAAACAAATATTAAACGACTTAAGAAAGTGTCAACCTTTTGACACAAGAGGATAAACAAGCATTAATGTATCAACTTAAGAAAATTAAAACTCTTCATTAAGATTATAAATTATTTGGATAAAACAAATATGAAACAACTTAAGAAACTGTCAACATTTTATGAACACTTCTTTTGACGCTAGAATCATTAAGAAACTTTAAACTATTAATTAAGATTATAATAGAATATTTCAATACAACAAATATGAAATAACTTGAGAAACTGTCAAACTCTTGTTAACAATTTTGTCAAACTTTTGAAACAAGAGGAGAAACAAAACTATTTGTAATTTCTAACTGTCAAACTCTTGTCAACACTTCTGTCAAACTTTTGACACAAAAGGACAAACAAAAATATTTGTAATTTCAAACTGTCAAACTCTTGTTAACACTTCTGTCAAACTTTTGACACAAGAGGAGAAACAAACATTAATGTATCAACTTAAGAAAATTTAAACTCTTTATTAAGATTATAAATTATTTGAATACAACAAATATGAAATAACTTGAGAAACTGTCAAACTCTTGTTAACACTTTTGTCAAACTTTTGACACAAGAGGAGAGAAACAAAAATATTTGTAATTTCAAACTGTCAAACTCTTGTCAACACTTCTGTCAACCTTTTGACACAAGAGGAGAAACAAACATTAATGTATCAACTTAAGAAAATTTAAACTCTTCATTAAGATTATAAATTATTTGGATAAAACAAATATGAAACAACTTGAGAAACTGTCAAAATTTTATCAACACCTCTTTTGACGCTAGAATCATTAAGAAAATTTAAACTATTAATTAAGATTATAATACAATATTTGAATACAACAAATATGAAATAACTTGAGAAACTGTCAAACTCTTGTTAACACTTCTGTCAAACTTTTGACACAAGAGAAGAGAAACAAAAATATTTGTAATTTCAAACTGTCAAACTCTTGTCAACACATCTATTAAACTTTTGACACAAGAGGAGAGAAACAAAAATATTTGTAATTCAAACTGTCAAATACTTGTCAACACTTCTGTCAAACTTTTGACACAAGAGGAGAGAAACAAAAATATTTATAGTTTTAAACTGTCAAACTCTTGTCAACACTTCTGTCAAACTTTTGACACAAGAGGAGAGAAACAAAAATATTTGTAATTTAAAATTATAAAAAAATACATTGAAATTATGAATTTACTCGACAAAAGTCTTTACTTGTTATTTTCAAATTAAATTATAATAAATATATTAATTGAAATTATGAATTAATTTAGGAAAGTGTCAAAAGTAGAGAAAACAATTTATCTGCTTGCTTGATTTAAAAATTTGTTTCTTTTAAATTTGTTAAGTTTTAACATATATTTTATGTAGCATTGATTATCGAGAATTTATTTCTACGAGTTTGCGACGGGGAAAACTTCTGCTATTATGAATGTGGAAATTTCAGGATGAAAGCTTGCAAATAACTTTGGCAAATGGGCTGATCCAAGGGAAGACGGACCGCACCGATAAGGGCTCGAAATATAGGTCGTTCAAGGGAATCCCTTATGCGGCAGCACCAATTGGCGAAAGAAGATTCAAGGTAATATTACCATTGTCGCAGTTTCGCTCATTTTTCTTCCAGTCTAATTTTGTGTGTATGTTTGTGTGAACATTTCAAGGGTCCGAGTGTGGCGCCCTCCTGGGACGGCATCCTCGACGCCACTCAAGATGCGGACATGTGCGTCCAGATAACGAACGAGCAGTACATCGGTTCAGAGGATTGCCTCCATCTGAACGTCTACACTACACAGGTTTAGATTGGTGGTTGAAATAATGGTTAAGGAAAGGGTAGTAAATCTGTTTTTTTCGCAGGAGCGGGCGGGACCGGAACTTCCGGTTATGGTCTGGATACACGGCGGCGCTTTCATGACCGGCAGCTCCAAGCAGCAGATATACGGACCGGACTATTTAATCGAGAAGAACGTCGTCGTTGTCACCATTAATTACAGATTAGGCGTTTTCGGTAATTAATACTTACACTTCAGCAATATGTCATAAAAGAAACTTTACTATTTCATTATTTTTCCATTAAAATTATGTCAATTTTTATTGGATAATTAGTATAAAGTTATTTGTTTGCTGTGACCGTGTAATTACGTATAGAATTTACGAAAAATAGGTAAAATCTTGGATTTGATTCTTTTATAAAATTGAATAACGAAGTAACGTTTCTTTTATGACACATTTTACATGTGAGAAAATTTAATTGTAAAGAATGAAAATTGTAGGTTTTCTGAGTACTGAAGATATCTCTTCGCCTGGAAATTACGGTCTGAAGGATCAAATAGCCGCGTTGCGTTGGGTGCAAGCCAACATCCAGCGGTTCGGTGGAAACCCCAACAACGTGACGATTTTCGGAGAGAGCGCTGGAGCCGCCTCCGTGAGTTACCTTCTATTAGCGCCGCAAGCGAAAGGTCTTTTCCACGGCGCCATCTCCGAGAGCGGAACGGCCTTATGTCCTTGGGCCTTGCAGCGCCATCCACGTAACATCGCCTTCGAAGTCGGTATAGCTTTGGGCATCATCACCCTATCCTCCGAAGACCTGGTGAACAGACTTCGAACCGTCGATGCACGACTGTTGCACACAGCTTCCTCGAGCGCAGCCATCCTTGTAATACAATCATATATAGTTTACTTAGAGACACAGAGACAGAGAGAGATAATGAAATTTTCCAGAACCTGATTTCTCCGCTGAACGGTCTCCCTTACAGCCCCACCTTGGAGCCGGAACACGACGACGCCGTTCTATCGTTGGGAAGCCATGAGTTATTCCGGACGGGAGAATTCAATCGGATCCCATATATTATCGGTTTTAATTCCGAGGAGAGCTCCGTGCTGCTAGAGCGTAAGCCCATTTAATTTGCACTTTGCATTTCGCACGGTTACAAATTTCATCAACGCCGCTTCTCTTTCTCTTTCGCTTCCACTTCCACAGTTCTGGATTACTTGAGGCCTTATCTACTATCCTACGACTTCGTGCCGACTAATCTCGTTCCGGACGACCTCAACGTGCCGAAGATATCCTTGGACTACATCCAAGCCGGTTACAAAATCAAAATCAAATACTTCGGCTTTCTGTCCACCAGCCTCGCCCGCAGAACAAACATTCTGAAGGTAATTTGAAACCAATCAACTGAAAAAATATAATAATCTAAATTAAACAATTGCCGAGATCGGCGGATATATCCGCCCTATCCTTTACATAGAAGTCTTCGCTTAAGCAAAGCGTTAAAATTATACACAATTCAATAGAAAAATCAAGAAATTTCAATAAATTAAATCGATTATTTTAATAATTATATAATGAAATACGCAAATTGATAATTAATTAATTTAAAAATGCGTAGATTCATTGTGTCACATTAAAATTAATTAACATTGTAAACGGATCGATTTTGCGGCCCGGCGCGTCCACCCAAATTAAATCACGTCCCAATAATTAACACATTCATTTTGATGTGCAGAGTATTTCAGCGAACAATTCTATAAATTTATAATCTTTGTTTAAACATTGAAATAGATTAATAACAAACATAATTTATTGGCTTTTTCAACAATATTTTCATAAAATGAAAGAAAATACAAGAGAAAGAAAACAAAACTGAATTACTAGAAGAAAAATCAGTAAACATTTCGTGTTAATAATGTATACATTTGGAATTCTTATACATTTTTACTTTATTTTAAAAGTAATATTTAAAAAAAATTGGATAATTTTATTGTATTTAACTGAAACTAAACGATTTACAAATTTGAAACATGAATATAGATTTTCTATTTCACATTAAAAAATAAATCAATAATGTAAATAAAACGATTTTTTTCAGTTTTTTTTAACTTTTAAACATTTTAATGAGAATAAAAGCGATAAAACATTTGCGTATTCGATAAGAAAGTAATAAAATTGGGGAGATTATTGAAAAATCGTCGTTTTTCGTTACCAAAACGCACAATGTTTGCGTCACAATGAATCAGTCATTATTTTACGCCTGATAATGAATGCGTTTTGAAATCGTAGAGTGTTGAAAAATCTCCTTTACTTTATTTTAAAAGTTATGATTAAATATTTAAATAAATTGGATAATTTTACTATATTTAACTAAAACTAAAGGATTTGCAAATTTGAAACATGAATATAGATTTTATATTAAAAATAAATCAATAATGCAAATAAAACGATTTTGCCCCAATTATAAAAAAAAATATTTCCAACGATTTTTTTTTCAGTTTTTTTTTAACTTTTCAACATTTTAATGAGAATAAAAGCAATAAAACATTTGCGTATTCGATAAGAAAGTAATAAAATTGGGGAGATTATTGAAAAATCATCGTTTTTCGTTACGAAAACGCACAATATTTGCGTCACGATGAAGCAGTCTTTTTTTACGCCTGATAATGAATGCGTTTTGAAATCGTAGAGTGTTGAAAAATCTCCTTTACTTTATTTTAAAAGTTATGATTAAATATTTAAATAAATTGGATAATTTTACTGTATTTAACTGAAACTAAACGATTTACAAATTTGAAACATGAATATAGATTTTCTATTTCACATTAAAAAATAAATCAATAATGCAAATAAAACGATTTTGCCCCAATTATAAAAAAAATATTTTCAAGAATTTTTTTCAATTTTTTTTTAACTTTTAAACATTTTAATGAAGTAACATTCGATAAAGAAGTAATAAAATTGGGGAAATTATTAAAAATCGTCGTTTTTCATTACGAAAACGCACAATGTTTGCGTCACAATGAAACAGTCTGTTTTTACGCATGAAAATGAAGGCGTTTTGAAATCGTAGAGTGTTGAAAAATCTCCTTTACTTTATTTTAAAAGTTATGATTAAATATTTAAATAAATTGGATAATTTTATTGTATTTAACTGAAACTAAAAGATTTACAAATTTGTAACATGAATATAGATTTTCTATTTCTCATTAAAAAATAAATCAATAATGTAAATAAAACGATTTTGCCCCAATTATAAAAAAATATTTTCAACGATTTTTTTTTCAGTTTTTTTTTAAACTATTCAACATTT